GTCTAGAATGCAAGACTACATCTTGAAAAAACGCTAATCTGCAAGATTAAAAACACTCCATCACCTCACTCAAATCCCTTCAGAGGATACCAAGTCTCCTTCAGCTGATACCTTTCATTAGAGCTTCATAACTTCCTGCAGCCCACTCCTTGATTTAATAAAAGAACAGTCTTCAAGACCTCATTTTGCCTATAATCAAGAATTACAATACAGGTTTTATTGCAGTGTTCAGTAAAACATCACCTTAATATTAGAAGGTTTCAAAGCACAGCTTCAGTCTTACTTGGCATCACATTACACACAGATTAWTTTTCAAAATAGTTATAAGAATGTGTCATATACCATATCTAGTGACGCTTTATAATGAGGAAACATGTGCCTGAAAACCATGACCCTTGAGCCACAAATATTGATTTCACAGTTTTTCTTGTTGTCAATTAATTGAGAGAAATACAGATGACTGGGGTAAATAAATTACTAAACCCACATATCCTAGCCTGGTTAAAAGCAGCCCCTTGGTCCTTGCTTTGCTTCCTACAGAGGGTCTGGACTCTTGGCTATTGAGAAACGATTGCTTCCTGGAGGCGTGGCCTTTGTTGAAGTTTAAAATGATCAGATTTTACCCATTGCTAACGTTTGACCGTGATGTACAGTATGTAGTGCACCAGCTCCACCATGAAGGAAGCTAAGCTAAGTGCGCTGTAAACAACCATCCCCTACAGGGAAGAGAGAAGTACCGAGCTGAATGAGGTGGCTGTAAATGAGTGCTGTAGCCTTTGTGAGACATAAGAATCAACATAGACTGAAAGGCTTTATTCACTTCCTCTGCTGCCATTGCTAAACTACAGGCTAAAATTAACAGTGCAGAAAATCAACATCTTTGTTTCAAACTCCTTCTGTTCACTGATTGGTCCAGTTGAAATTCTACCGGAGAAATCCATGTCAATGTGAGAAATCCCAGACGGAGCAGAAAAGAGAGATTAAAATCGAGTGGAACTGTAGGAAAGCAATGACCAGGCTACACATACTGTACCCCTGTTTAAAAAAAGCATTTTGCAGATGGATACTTTACTGTCAAAGGGGCAATATCATGGAAAATCTTCATGTCACCTCTGGACCTCAATGAACCAGCAAACTAGTACTTTAAAAAGGGATGATTATCAGTTTATTTASATGCTACTGTATATTTAGCAGCGTAACACAAAGTGACGCTCAAAATGACTGAACTAAAAWTAGCCACTTTGATGCTCTACATTTTACAAACAAAGTACACAACCCATATTTATAGTGAAAACAGAGTCAAACTGTGAAGAAAACAAACCCCTACTAAAGACGATCTCAGTTTACAGGCAAACTAACCAACAAAAGTCAGCAGCAACTAATCATCTCAGGATATGAATGTGCTCCTTTCTCTGATCCTACCTTCCTGGCTCCACTCCATCTGAAGATCAGAGAACAAGTCATGTTTGTACACCTAATGATGCTTGACCTTTGACCTCCTGCACAGAGCCTGTTGGAGTGTTCAGTACCGCTGCAGCAGATTAGCTGGTAAAGTCTCAGGCAAGAAAAGGAAAGGCTGATGCTTAAACACAGAAAGTCTTTATAAGTGAGGAACGGTGATTAGAGACTTAATCTGCTGCTGTGGTGGTCCGGACATAACACACACACACACACACACACACACACACACACACACACACACACACACACACACACACACACATCGGAAATTCTTGATTTCCGCAGTAGAAAAAAAATTTGCATTACAACAGTAGCTTTCTCTTCAATGGGAAAATAAACTAATCATCCAAGGTGAGACAGACAGAACAACGCTCGTAGACTCTCATCCAACATGAAGCTGAACATTTGCCCCAGTTAAAGCAGTTAGTCTTCATTTAAGCAGCTGCTTTGGTTTTACAGAATTCTCTGCTTGGCTGTGGCTGAGTGGTTAGGGGAGTAGTTTCTCTAATGAGAGAGTTGGCGGTTCAATTCCCTGCAATTCCGTCACATGTCAAAATCACCCTGGGCAAGACACAGAATGCCTCCACTACCCCTGATGTGTCCCATCAGTGTATGAATGTGAATTCAAGCACTGATTTGTCTCTGTAGAGTTTCTCAGGGATTAAAACGCCTGGTAGAATTAAATTTAGCAGATATTTATGATTAAATATAATTCAAATACTTTATTGATCCCAAAGGGAAATGACAGTAAAACGACAAACACATGAAGTTGACTCAGAAAACTCTGTGATTTTAGAAGAAAATCAAAGTCAAATGGAGACGTGTCTTTGTTTTAATTTGGGGCATATAAATATTTTGCCTGTAACCTGATCTCTTCAGGTTTTGTTGTGCGTGAATAGACGGTGTGGTGGTGGAAATACTGCGAGGTGCTTTCAAAAATATAATATATATAAAATACGAAATCCTCAGTGGAAAATAATCCGGGAAACGCTGACAGCTTTCCCAGCAGGTGTTCACCTGCCCTCTGGGCTGCAGCTGCGYGCACCAGCTGTCAATCAAACAACACGACTCACCCTGCTCTATTCTGATTGGGTAAAACTTTGCGGTTCTTTTTAATAGGGGTGACCATCAGTTTAATCCCTAGACGCTAAGGGCTCCTATTTGGGATATCCCTCCTGTTGCCTAAATAACTTGTCTCCAGCCTTTATATGATACGGTTTTGTCTTTTTGATATATGTTGGCCCAGTGCTTGAATCCAATTCTAATTTCTGCTCAGAAAGCCATCAATGCACCTCTGTATGTACCTGACGGCACCCAGGTCCAGGCATCTTGCTTTGAAGGCTTAACAAGGTTCGACAACAAGCAGCACTTGGAGGTTTGGTGTGAGGCACTAAAATCTCAGAGCTTTAAGGGGTTCAGTATGGTCGCTCAGCAGCCRACCGGACGATGCACGGTCAGACTCCACCATGCACAATGTCTGTCTTATCCTCTTTCATGACTTTTTGACCGTTTCACTATCTTTATAAAAACCTGAGTGGAAAAACAAGAAAATCGTGTACTCAGTAAGTAATAGGCTATAAAACAAAACAATAATTATATTTTTAAAGTGAACACCAGTTTTCTTAAAGAGGGGGTATAACACAAAATTGACTTGTTTGGGCTTCATGTATTTGTTCTAATGCCATTCCCACATCAAAAATATATCCAGAGTGTTGATTTGATTCATTCATGTTTGAGAAATCCTTGAATCTCCTGTGGTAGCCATGTGGAGCTGCCTAAATGCTTGCTGGTACAAAGCTCAGCCTATTTACACAAAGCTCCTCCCTGGAGCTCAGTCTGCAGCAGAGCTCCAGCCACACAGAGCACCCTATAGAGGAATTGTTGTGAAGTGGGAGTGTCAGAAATAGTAGGAGGTTCTTAAAGAGACAAAGGCCAATTTCAAGGTGTTTAGACAGACCAGGGCCCTTTCCCAATCGGTGGCTACACACTCGCCCTACTCCCTACAAACTACACTCGCTGTGAAGCCCCTCGCAGCTGAACTGAGTCCCCTTGATGGCACTGTATACACCCTCYTCTTTTGAGACGAGCTCTCCTCACACCACCGGAACAGGAAGCTGTCGTCACCATGGTAATAGTCCAAGCTCTGGCAGCGATGGAATGCAGGAGAACAAACACTTTTTTTAATAGGACCAAAGAAAATATTTAATTAGGCCCACATTTTAGAGAGTTTTCAGATATGACTGTGTTTGCAATAAACACAGTGTGATAACTTGTCAAAACAATTGCACTTTTAACATTTTTTAAAATCATTTATTTACTTTGCCTTTCTTTTCTTCTTTTTTTAAATATGGACCATGGTTCTGTGTCTTTAATAAAATTTTAATTGAATTAAACATGATTTATGTGAAATTATATTTGTTGGTGAGGTGTTTATTTAGTAAATATGTGTACAAAACATATGCGGAACTTATATTTATACATCCCATGCTCCATACTGACCACTATTTGGTGCTGCACATGCTGCTTAAGTCTGCATTGGATGCTGACTCGCTGTGGAGGACTTAATAAGCCACTCACCCTAATACCTAACTTGTTTCGGATGGGACTTAATATGGCCAACCCTCCGCGGGAACGTGCAAAGCGAGTGAGTAGGGAGTAGGGCGAGGGTGTAGCCACCGATTGGGAAAGGCCCTATGATGCAAAGTCACATTTATTTTTAATATACACAGCATTTTCATGACAAATGAAGGTAACATGTTTGATACTTGATTGTGGAATAGAATGGAATCATATGCCAGGAAAATACACAATACCCCCCACCCCATCTGTGTTCAGATGGTATTTTTTAAAATTGTATACTGTATCAGCATATCAAGTACTACATACTTTAACTGTAGAGAAGAAATTTTGTTTTTAAAATTCATTAAAAAAGAAAATCTTCCACAATAATATAAACATTGGTTGTTTGTAAAGTTTTGTACAGATCTAACAAAACAATTTTTTACATGTAATTAAAGTGAGATCCTGCTCCTTATGTGTAATTTCTTATCCCATCAGCGGATGTTTAAATTTTATGGTTCACATACAATATCACAATCCCCACACTAAATTTAGCTTTATAATACAAAATGTTGCCAGTTCTGCAGAGAATAACAGCTGAAAGAAAGTTTTGAAAAAGGTTTCTTCAGGTGGTTTGTTATATGATGCATTTGAGAAAGAACTGGCTTTAGCAGTGGAATAATGCTGCCACACYGCCAGCAAATGCCTGAGCAAAACCAGTGAAACAACGACATAATTTAGGTGGTCACACATTAACAGGGCTGAAGCAAAATAGGGGAAAACAAGAACACCAGTATTACCATGAGACTTTTTTTCCCCAAAAAACATTAGACCATGATGCATGGGATGAAAAATAAATCCAGCATAAGAGTGGAGTTGGTCAACTCCAACAAAAGATTAATAAATATAGACAAAGCTGAAATCAGCCCTGATGTTAAATTAAGTTTCATTTTGGAGTAGAAGCCGTGGCTGTGACTTACCTCGGTCTTCTAAAGATGAGGCCATACTGCTGGCAGGCCAGGCCCACAGTTGGAGTGTAAATGATGGGCATAAACCTCTCAACGTCTGATGTAATAAACCGATAGAAGAGCTTCTCGTTGCGATCCTGAAGCCCCATCAGGAACACATATCTGGAAGTGTCAGAAAACAGCAGGTTAATCTTTAGCACCATGAGTATCTACATGGAGACAGGCCCCAGCTCCACTGAGGTACAAAGGTTTCTAAAATACTCATGTTAAATTCTGGATGCTCAATTTAGAAATTAGACATTAAGAAGTTTGTAAGATCTTCTAGATTGGTGCAATAAATTGTCACACGGCAAATTCCTGTGAGTGTAAAAGCCTTGAAGTCACCAAAACTCTGGTCTCAGTAGAACAAATATTTGTAAAGACATTTTTTCTTGAGTACCAAATGACTGGGAGAAAAAAATAAAAAAACAAGATCAAAGTTGGACCGCAGACAGCTGACATAAGCTCTTTGTTCTGAAGATTGAACAGGAACTTGTAGTTGACCCAAATTAAGCAGCGTATGCCAGAAAGAGCTCTACTCTCAATCAGAGATGTTTCCATAAAACCACGAGCACAGAGTGCCTCTTGTTAAGAACATAGAAAACAAGCATGCTCTCTCTCTCTCTGATGTAGATTAAGCTACAGCAGCTGCACAATACACATTGATGACGGTTACTATTAAGAATTGTTTTTCTAATTCTCAAACAAAATTCACTTCTCCCACATTCAGTACCTCACAGAAAAGTTTCTGTATGCAGTGGAAAATTTGGGTGAAGGAAATTTGGCTTTAAAATCATTCACACAATCAGTTTTATGGAGCCTCCTACCACCAGTCTGTTTACGACCTGCAATAGGGCTGGCAACAGAACAAATATGTTTCTTTGAGTTTGTGCATCCTTTGCAGGTGCATTTTTGAGTTCTGCACAAGATTCAAATTTATAAAACTCTCATAAAATGAGCTTTGAACCGAACAACACCTGTGCGCCGGTGCAGTTTACACACTTATACAGTAGATTTGTGCATTTAGAAGAAAATCCTCCCTTGATGTAAATAACTGCCAGGGACAATGTCTACTACGGTTTGCAACATGAGTTTTGCATTTACCATTTCCTAAGGACAGCTCTGAATAAAAAGGTAAATGGTAAAATAATGCTTTATAAAGTCTCTACAGACTCAAAAGTGCTTCACGCTCACATTCACACATTGATGATGCTAAGCTACGGTGTAGCCACAGCTATCCTGGGGCACAGTGACAGAGGCAAGGGCTGCCATGCACTGGCGCCACTGGACCCTCTGACCACCAGCAGTAGGCAAGGCAGGTGAAGTATCTTGCCCAATGACACAATGACTTAGACGGATGGAACAGGGCATCAAACGGACAACCGACCACTTACACTCCCCAACTGTTCTGCCACGGATGCTCAAAGTGAAAAAGTTCAGTAATCTATTTTCCTATTGCTTTTAGAAAAACAGAGCTGACATATGAGAACAAATATTAATAATCCTCTCTTAAGTGTTGTTAGCACTGTAGCAGTTTGCTAACTGCTAATAAAAATAATAACAGTGCACACACAAAGTAGTCAAACTCCATCCACATCACTTCTTTATTTTCAGTTTAATTTTTAACTAACTCAGCCAGAAAATGCTTTCCTCACTGCTTCTATCATTCAAAGCTCTGAACAACCAAGCTCCATCATATATTAAACATCTTATTGTTCCATACTTTCCTAACAGAGCACTTCGCTCTCAGACTGCAGGTTTACTTGTGGTTCCTCGAGTTTCTAAAAGTAGAATGGGAGGCAGAGCTTTCAGTTATCAAGCTCMTCTCTTGTGGAACCAACTTCCAGTTTCTGCTGGTGAGGCTGACACTCTTACTTTTAAGATTAGACTGAAGACTTTCCTTTTTGATAAATCACATAGTTAGTCTTAAGTTTCCTAACTTCTTCATCTCTGCTGCTATAGACAGACTGCTGGAGCACAAGCTGAGCACATTTCCTCACTCTGCTGTTGTCTTTAGTCTCTCTTCTCTACATGTTTATTGTAATTATTTCTATCAACAATGTTGTTTCTTCTTGTCTCTTTTCAAGAAGAAGGTGCACCTGGACCAGTCCTGGACCAGTCCTGGACCAGTCCTGGACCAGTTCTTCTGTGCTTGCCTGTGTCTCTTTCCTGTCCCCCAACTCAGCCAGTTGAGGCAGATGACCCCCTGTCCTGAGCCTGGTTCTGGTTCTGCTGAAGGTTACTTCCTGTTAATAGGGATTTTTTTCCTCTCCACTATCACCAATGTGCTGCTCAGGATGGAATACTGCGATGAAGTGATTCAACGCAGATGTATTCATCTGCTGGCTTCTTTTTCGTGTACAGTAGTACCCTGAGAAGACGTATGTTGTGACTTGGCGCTATAAATAAACTGATTTGAATCCTGTTCTTTCCTAATGACCCAGTGCTCTCAGGCTGTATAAATCAAATTCATTAGTTTAAAAAAAATGTATGTGGAACAAGATGTATCTTTTTCTAAATTAATCTGAGACTGACAAATAGCCTACCTAAAAGTAAGTTCCTAAGGTTAGCTTAAAGGCCTGTTTCTGCTGGTTAACAAYCTCACTGAATGGGAATTTTCCCTTTAGCTGCACCACTTTATAAACTCTAGTATTTGAGTTGGCAAAGTTTTTGGAAATACACTTTCTCTGTTAAGAAGGGCCACAGCGGGCACTTTAGTCACCACATCAACTAAGATCATAAATCTGCTTGTTGTGTGGATTTCTTCATCACTTTGAGAAAGAATTAACTATATATAGTAATCTGAGAAAACAATAASTTAAAGGGTAATGTTAAGAATAAGGACAGGATGCAGCAGTCTTTACCAAATAAGGATTGAGTATTGGGAAACAGAAAAGGCTAAAAAAAAAGGGAACAGAAAAGGCTTGAGTGACGACAGTCAAAAGTCCCAAAGAGACATATTATGAGTCATTCACTGATAAAACATGGGAACTACYGTTTTTAGATGGGGACTTTGTGTCATTGCTATTTATTAAGATGCAGTATGATTTTTTATTTACTCTAAATCCTATTTTGCATTAGTGGGTTTTCACTCATCTTTCACATTCTGACTGACAGCTTGTGGCTCAAATGACAGAGATGAAAGCTGGAGAAAACGCTGACTTCATCAGAGGCTGAAGAGGCCAAACTGAAAGGTTAGCATATGGTGCATTTGTTGTGCAATGAATGTAACTCTAAGTAGTGATGAAACATGCAATTTAAATAAAGTGCAGTTTTTATTTGACCACTGAGGACGATGGAAAAACAAAAAGAGTAGGGAGTAAATGGGAAAACTGCTAAAATAAGAGAACTGTCAGCATATTTATGAAGAAAATCCCACAGTATTAGGAGACAGATGATCTCAGAGGGCTGATATCTTATCTGCCTCCTGTCTTTTAAAATGTTCCAAGTCAAGGATCTCTTTGCACACAAGAATCAGCGGAAATTTAACTCTTGTGAAGGACGGGACATTAGGTCGTAAACACACCATAAACTCTTGTTTGGTTTGTAAAAAAAACATTCACCTGTCAAGGTCATCTCTCGTCATGTCGTAGTTTTTGAGGACGCGGAGCAGCTGGACGTCTTGACTTATAAAGCATGGAGGCAGAAGGCCATGGATTCCCAACTGGAGACGCTCCTCCAAGGAAAAAGCCAATCCCTGCAAGCAGACACATGGAGCACCTTCAAACTTTGTCTTCCACATTGTAATAAATACAGAGAATGTCCAAAGTAGGAATGCATGTGTTTTGTACTTTCTGCTTCTAAACTCAGACAAGACAGAAGTTATAGTTTTTGAACCCGAGCATTTTACAAATGGATGGATAGAACCAGCAACCTACCAGTTGCAGAAAGAATCCTATAASCACTCTGCCACAGACACCCCAAAGTATATTTGAGTGAATGATCACTGGTTACTCAAGTTTATGAAGGTAACTTATTCCATTGGTCACTCTGTTGGCAGGCATGAGGTAGACTTGTGGAATTTTGTTTAAAATTAATTATATTCTTAACCATTTTAATTGGACAACTTGGTTTCAAAAGATGGAAAAATTATACAGCGGGTAAAATAAGTATTGAACACGTCACCATTTTTCTCAGTAAATATATTACTAGAGGTGCTAATGACATGAAATTTTCAC